TTCTCTGTCGTAGCTATCACGTAGACGAGCACCATGTCCCGTCGCTAAACCGCGAAGCCTTATTCAAATCTCATCAACCGAGTACATCAAACGCTACGGACGCCACAATAAGGTTGCGGGACACGACATGGTAGGATTGTGCGATTGTACCAAGCATGTTTGGCCCACGGCTACCTACTTTCGTTTAGGTTGATCACAGAATCTAGTCCCACGTGCCTAGCCTTGCGAACGTGTGCTTGGTGCTACCGCGAGCTAACCCGTGATGTGAACCTCATGCGGAAAGCAAACACGCAGTCACATATTTTGTGATATGAACAGTGACGGATCGAGAATGTGCTCGACACAATGGGGAAGGCCTGCTGGCATAGCAAATAGACCACATAGACGAATCGATATTCCAACATCGGTCTGGGATGTCATCACACTCTGCGCTTCTATGTGATTGCTGAACAAGATGTTCGCAGGTACGCTGCACACCCAGCATCTCACTGCATGTTCTTGTGAGATGGGTATGAACAAGTGATTCGAATACGTAACGACAAAGGGTATAATCAGCCCAACCGAACCCTCAACCAATACTACTATACCATACACCTTACACCGTACCCAATGCCGCTAAACAACAAGAATGTTGATGATGATAATACAAGCTGCCATAACCGACATAACAAACGCCCTCTATGCACGGCGGAATCAGAATGATCGAACCTCAACCCTCTTACTTGCCTGTCAACTCGCCTTCCAAGTGCTGATATTTTGTTAGTCATGATGTTGCTGCATCAGGCACGAAAATGTTGAGTACTTACCGACCACTCTGGAATGTCACGTATACGCTGCCACATATATCTTTCTAATCGATTCGCCGCCTTTGCGTACGGCGTGCTTTCATTGTTGTACTTGCGGCAATTGTCGAAGATGAGCTTGGCATCTCTGATGAAGTCCTCGGGGGTAGGGTAAAGATCCTTTTCGTGTTTTTCCTCCATGGTCGCGAGATCCATGGGCTCCTTGATGACATCGTAGTAGTCGAGCACCTCATCCTTATTAACGGGCTGTTGGAACGGCCAGGCGTTGCTGTTATTCTGCATGTCGTTGAGGAGATGGAGAAGGGCATTGTAGTTGGGTCCGTGGCGGGGCGCGCGAGCCAGCTCGTCCATAACAGGTGACCAGCCGGAGTTCTTGATGGCAGGAATGGTCAGGGGGTCGATGGCTTTCAACTCGCCCTTTGCCCATTGCGCTGGCGGCGCGTGGACTTCGTAGCTCTTGCTCACAGCCCTTATCTTGGCGTTTGCGCATTCCTTCTGCTTCAAGAGCATCCTGCCACTTTCCAAGTATCTTATCTTGGGCACCATGCTACACTGCATGATGGTGCCGCCTTCATAGTCCTTGATGTAGCCCATCCACCGTGACTTTTCCAGGGTAATCTCCTTGGTGAAGCCTTGTTTTTTGAAGTATCCGATGGCGTAGTTGTCGGCGTAGGTAAGGAAGTGCATGACCTGCGAGGTGGCTTTGACGTAGTCTTTGAGATGGGACATGAGATGGGCACCGTAGCCCTTGACCTGTTGATCCGAGGAGATGGCGCAAAAGACGATTTCGGCGAACTGGCCTTTATCGAAGGGACGGTATGTTATGCCACTGGAACGTCAAATTGTCAGCGTCTGGCCAGAGACGGGACGAGAGTGTTCACGTACCCTACCACCTCGAGAGGATGCTTCACGATGGCTATGCTCAGATGGGTTCTGTCATAGACGAGGCGCGCAATGTAGTCCTTGGGCATCTTAGGCAACTGTTTCTGAAAGATACATTTCAAGCCTGTCAGAATGATGGTGCTCTCTCTTTCTCCATCATTGTTGACCACTCTGAATTCAATCTCCCCATTGCGCTCTTCTATGACGGCGGGCTTCTCGGGGAAGGGCACTATACGTTTCACGGGAGGCGCGGGAGCATCGTCGGCGGCAGAAGGTGTCGAGGGATCTTGCTTTATGCGCTTGGGAGAGCCGTTGGGAGGGTCGGTGGTCGCTTTGCGCTTGGCTTCGGCGAGAGACGGGTCAGCGTGTAATTCACGAAGTGATATGCTCGAAGAGGCTTGCCGGGTGTGTCGGCGAGGTATGGGGGGAGGAGCGAGCAGTGGTGAGGTTGGGGGAGAGGTGGGATAGCCCAACGTGTCGCGCAACTGCGGGATGTTGTTGCGGGGAGACATGTCGGGCTTGTGGGTGCGATGCACGTTTGTTGACGCGCATGAAGCTGGAGAGGGTATGCGCACTTACTGTCGTCGGTTGCGCCCGCCATGTTGCAGTGTAGGGCGCCTTCTGTGTGCCGTCGCGCCTTCTCTCAGCCCTGTGCGTGGTGTTGATTGAATGTCGGGGAAGTTGCGCCTCCCGCGCTAGTCGCCCCACACCAATCACGGCCGATCACCTGCGAGTGAACACGAAAGGCCACCACAACAGCTTCGCAAGAGAGAGACACTTACATAACCCAATTGCACGCCTGCACACATGTCGAGCCCACTTGTAGACGTCTGGGAGGCTGCTGCGTCCTCGCCCTTCAGCCCTGCCGTTGGAAAGAACACGCAGTTCACCGTCGGCTTCGTGCTGCTGGCCATATGTATGTTGGAAGCTCTGCTGCTTAGTGGACCTCTGCTAACAACGCACGCAGCTCTCATCTTGACTACCATCTTCGGCCTGAGTACGCGACATAGCCACGCCCCTCTAGCGAACCTTTACTCATGCGCACACAGACCGATCCTTCATCAACCTCCCCGTTCTCGGTGTTCCCGCGTCATTAGCATTCGGGTACGTGGCCTCGGAAACCCAGCTGCAACATGCGCCCACTGACTGCAAACAGCTTCGGCGCCGTCTACATGATCTGCGCAGTCGGCGTATACGTCTAGTTTCCTACTTCTCCATCCGGCGTTAGGGGCATACTGTGTACAATCTATGGAATACCAATAAAAAGTTCAAGACTCTCGAATCTACCTGCGCGATAGCCGTACCTTCACACTCACAACACAGCACCATGGACGAAGAAGAGCCCCCAATCCTTACGGCTGTGTCAAGCTCTGCGCGACAATTGTACCTGCTCCTCCGCTGCATCGCCTTCTCCAACAAGGCCCATGTCCAGATTAGCGACATCGGCATGAAGCTTGCTGTGGACGAGGCGAGCGTCATGGAAGGTACGTCTATGCGCAATAACTTCTCTGTCCATTCGCAGGCTGACGCAACCACAGCATCCGCCTTCCTCGACAAGTCCCTCTTTACAACCTACACCTTCAATGCGCCCGCCCCACCGTCGAACTCACAACACTCCGACAGCGACGATGAACTCGACCCAACATCTACTACCACTCCCGCGTTCCAAATATCTCTTCCCGCTCTCCTTGAGACCCTCCAGATCTTCGGCCTCACCGACCCCTCCACTTCCAAACCACCATGGGCGCGCGATGGTGCATATCCCACTAGCACAGCCTTCACTGGAAACAACATACTAGGCGGCATGAATAACCTCTGTCGGATAAGCTACAATGGCCCAGGTGCTCCACTAGCGGTCACTTTGACAGAAGCGAGCATACGCACGCAATGCGATCTCACGACGTACGAGCCAGAGTACACGGAAGAGATACCATTTGATCGACAGGCCCTCGCGCTGAAAATCATCATGCGAGGCAGCTGGTTATACGACGCAGTGCAAGAGCTGTCATCTACAAGCCCGGAGAAGCTGACCTTGTACGCCAAAACCGTGCGTGGCAAACCCTTCTTCGCTCTATCGTCTTCAGGCACTCTAGGCTCAGCGCGCGTCGAGTTCAACAATCAGCCCCAGCCCTCTGCCTACCGCACTCCCGCATCCACAAACCTCAACACGAACAATGAGATAGCAGATCAGCAGCCTACCAATCTGCTCGAGACCTTCCAGCTCAGCGACCCACAAGCCGTACTCCGCTCATCCTACAAGTTTAGCTTGATACAAAAGGCTGCGCGTGCCATGAACGTTGCGACCAAAGTCAGTATACGAGCAGATACCCAAGGCGTGCTGAGTCTACAGTTCATGATTGAGGTCGACGGTAGTGGGTCGGCTTCTCAAACCGGGCCTGGAGGGGCTACAGGAGGACAAGTGAGTTTCGTCGACTTTCGCTTTGTCCCGCTTGTCGAAGAGGATGACGACGAGGCCGAGGGCGCAGGCGCTGACGAGACTCTGATGCACAATGGCCCAGGAAGTGATGGCGAGAGTGGCGTGGACGATATGCTATGAGATTACGATAGGCATCACTACTGGCAGAAAGCAGAGAGTTCAAGCTCAGCATATGCCGGTTTCGCTAATATCTTATGTTTGCTAGTCTGTCCAGACCCGAACAGAGCAGGAAATGAAATCCACAACCATACAATGTCTTCTGTGATGAAGCAATCAAGAGGCGTTACTTGGCAGCCTCTTATTTGAAAGTCCTGACGTTTTGCTCTGGACATGGCCCCACATTTGACAATTCCTCCTTTTACTCAAGCATAAAAACCCTACCTGATGAAATATAAACCTGCCATGGAGCCAATGCGCCTGGGCTTGACATGTGGGGCCAGCCAAACTTCTAGTCCTGACCTGAGTGCAAGATCAATCTAAATAGCGTAAAACAGGAATACTTAGGACGCCCAGTCGTCCTGTCCATAGCTTTATGTAATGCGTCATGGGAATCAGCTTCTTTCTTGTTTTCTTCTTTCTCGAGTGCCACGCCAGGCCATAGTATCCAATCTGATGCCCGTTATCGATGTTCGTACCGAGCCGCTTTGTCGTCGCGAAGGGGGGATCGAGGTTGGTGAGTCGCGTATCGGGCGTGCTAGACTCGCGTCTCGATCGAGTGGGGTTCGTGCGCTGCACGGAGCGACTTAGAACTCAAGTTCAGCTACCACGGGTATTAGCAATGGGTTGCGAATGTTCACCATTCGAATTCACCATTTGCTTTGTGGAACAGGTATCTTTCATATCGTTAGCAAAATCTCTGCAAAGTATTAACACCCAACTTACTCCTTCTTGTTCGTGGTCAGGATGCCGTCCTTAAGCGTGCACTTCCACTTGTTTTTGACGCGCTGGACTTTGTCGTAGGTGCACAACATGTAGTCAACCATCTCATCATCACTGTTATCGCCATCCCCGAGTTCGTCCTCCGAGTCATCCAGGTCAGAATTAATGGCGTCATCCGGATCTTCTTCCGGCTTCACGTCGTCGTCACCATCAAAGCGGGCGGGAACCGGTGTGTTTGACGAAGCCTCTGCGTCCTCGGCCTGTAGGACACGCATAGCAGCCTTGCGCTTCTTGCCCTTTGGCATCGAATCGAGCGGTACCATAAGACCACTGTCCTGACGCATAGCCATGGCATCAACGCGAGAACGCATGAAGTCATCCGCCGCCATGCGCTCTACTGCATCAGCAGCGCGTGCGGCCTTCAAGGCCTCCCAGTCAGCCATAGCATCACCCGAACCATCAGTCTGTGAGGTGTACATGTGGTTTTGTGGTGGGGGACGCTGCTGCGGCATTCCCTGCTGTTGCTGTTGCGGAGGTCGTTGATGTTGCTGCTGCTGCTGCTGCTGCTGCTGTTGTTGCTGTTGCTGTTGCTGTTGCGCCATCATGCGCTGCTGCTGTTGCTGGTTCTGCATGGGCATTTGAGGCAGATGGCCCTGTTGCGCCAGGTTGGGGAAGTTCTGCTGTTGCTGTTGCACATGTCCTTGCTGCTGCACTCGCTGTTGTACTAGAGCAGCTGCACGCTGGTGCGCGAGCTGCTGGTTTTGATCATAAGTGCCGTAGCCGTTGTTCGCAGTCTGAGCAGGAGGATAGTTAGCAACTGGGGGCTGATATCCTCCTTCTGTCTTCACGGGTACGTTGGGGAAGTTGAGAGCCTCCTGAGGTCCGGACACGGAAGGCATATCATTGTCAACCTTTACGTTGGACGGTACCGTAGGTGGCTGACGGACAGGCTCAGGAGCAGGGTCCCACGGAAAGTGAGCGATCTTGAGAGCGGACAGCCTCTCTTGCCAGCCCTAGCGGTAGTCAGCATATGCTCAGCACGACTGCAACAAAACATGATGTGAGAGCAGCCGTCACATGACAGACTATGCCTTGTTGGGAAATGATGCGTTGGTCTTGGCGGGTGGGGGAGCTGTGCAGGGGCTATAAGAAGGCATCTCAAATACTGAGGCGCCCCCGGAGCTGCCAGACCGACCGGCAACTCCGCCCCGCTTCCAGCCGCCCATCACCCAAGCCAGGCGGTCACCGCGCGATCGCCGCAGCCAGCGAAACCGATGCGAGGAATGAATTGACAGGAAAAGTGAGAGACATAAAAAGCGGTGTGACGGCGGTCGCAAGTGCGCTGCGACAAAGAAAAGGAAGGCGCGCTGGCCAAGATGGAGGCCAGGTTGCAACATACCTGCTTCATCTCGTCGAGCGTGCTATGATCAACGCCCGACTCCTCGAAGTCATTCTGCGAAGTCTGGATCACCTTCTCGATGATCTGCTGGTACACGCCGCCCTGGTGGTTGCTGTTAGCAAGCCTGCCTTCACCCTTCCACCGCTCGCATGCGCGCATTGGGGATACTAACCACGACCGAGTTCGACATGATCGCGACTGTTTGGTATGGTCTGAGCTATCTAGTATACGATGCGAGCTCTGTGATGGCTGCGCGACGGCTTGTGATGGTTGCTCGCGTGCAGAGGATTGAGGAATAGGCAGGCAAGCCAGGCAGGCGACGTCAGCGCTTGAGGCTGCAGAGAGGTGCGCGCGCTTGAGGAAGCTTCTGCGCGGTCAAGGAAGTTCTACGGATATCGCTAGCCCAGACGGAAGGCTTTGTACGACGTGTTCGGGTGCCCTCAGCTTTCGGGGTCGTGGGTGTATGAGTGATAGTGAGCGGCGTTCCGGCAATCATTGAGGGCGCCGGTTCCTTAGCGCCTAACGCTACTCTAGCGTCACACGTGACCATGCTCGCAGCTCAACATCGAAAGAACGCGATGCAACGTTCTGGCAGATTCGAGATATAGTAGTACTTGTGATCAATACGCATAGGATTCGATTGAAATGTTGGTACAAACGTCGTCAATTCATCAACTGCACCTCAAACAGCGCATCCCACAAGAAGCAAAACTCCCGCCACTGCACTCAAATCGCACCTGGGTATTTTGGCATGCTCCTCGCAATCGCTACCGGCTAATGGTCATGCACCAAAGCCTTTTGTACCGCTGCATCAACGTCCTTGCGCCTATACCCTGGTGACCGCCCGAGACACACGCCATGTATAATGATCTCTGTCGGAATTGTCAGTCCAATGTCGACTTCTCTTGAATGTGTACACTCACCATCAATCAACTTCGCAACGTCTAGCCAGGCAGTCTTCTTCCGTTTCTGCCTCACCACTGGTAAAGCTGCCGCTACGTCGCTCATCATGTTCATGCCCAAATCTATATTGTCCATGTGAAAGGTAGGTGTATGCGAAAACCCATAATCATACCCAGGTGCGAGATCCAAACCCAAGGTCTGATCATATGAGATTTCATAGTTGACAAGCCTAGGGAATTCACCAGTGTTCCCGAAAGACAGATCTAGCCCAAAAGCTCCACCATCGGCGATATTGTAAGAGTTATTTGGCGGGTTTGTCGAGGTGGTTGACGGAGCTGTCGATGCGTTTGCGGAGTTCTGGTGAAGAGGAGGCAGACTCGTCGCGTTGTGTGGCCGTTGCCGTAGTGAACTGTTGGGGGCTCTGGACAGTTCTTCGTCGGCAACTTCGATAACACACTCGGCGAACGAGCTCTTCGGGTCGAGCTTGCACGAGTACTTTTCTTCCAAGTAGCCCTGTACGTCGTAACAATCGAACCATTCCCCCTCGTATCCACGGAGGTCTACGCCGCGTAGCTCTTCACTCCTGCCGTCTTCTGTATTCTCTATAATGAGCACTTTGTTCTCTGCTGGCCCAATTTGCCGTACGTTCCATCCGTTTCTCACAGGCTTCGCGTTGCCGGCAGGGTCCCGTCGCGGATAATGAGTCCCTGCACCACCGAGATGGAGGAATGGCGACTCCCACCAATCCAGGTCTTCGTCAATGCCACGGGTCATTATAGTTCGAAACCGGCTTCGTATTTGATCGAGGGTTTCATAGGGTAGAGAGAGCTTGAAGACACGGTTAATTGCCTAGATTTAATGATTAGCTTTGTGTCACTCCTCGGAGGAAAAGGCAGTGAAGCCAAAGAAGCAATTCCTACATCGACTAGCTGAAAACGTACCGTAGGGCGGGCATGAGCGTTGCTAAGCAGATGAAACCCCGCCTCAAGCGCCGCCCTCGACAATCGTCTGGCAAATGTAGTTTCTTGAAAACTGTACGTTGTGACTGGAGGGAGCGTCTTCGACGATACTTTCGATAGAGGCGGCGTGGGCAGCCTGTTCGTTGGTGGTGTCGTTTCAGGCGTCGGTACACGGACAGAGTACGTGTGTGGGTTTGTTGTTGCATACGGTGCTTGGTGTTGACTCAGGAGGTCTACAAGCCCGAAAGGCAGCTGCGTCGGTTGGGATGAAGTATGCGATGGTGATGGGTCTACTGGAGGCTGCGAAGATCGGTGCGACTGGTCGAAGACCGAACCAGCGCCAAACTGACGGCATCCCACCAGATCGCTCCTACGGGAGTCCACATTGCCATAAGCAGCACTAATGTGGGCGAGGTAGCTATCCGGTGTTGACAATTGTGGCTGCGGACGCTTCTCAGCAGCTTGTTTCGGAATTGCAGAATAACCCCATCCAATGTGTTGCACTTCAGGCTCCGGTTCGGCTAGCTTCGGTGCACCATTCCCTTCGATTCCTTGTTCGCCGTGTTCACCATCTTCGTCTCCCTCGTACTGGCCTTCGTTGGCTGTCTTTGTCAAGCTCGCGAACGTCTCCGTTACCAGCTTGAACTCTTGGGCCAAAGTCGGATTCAGCTGTAACAGACCTGACTTGATGGTGGATTCGTTTAGCTTTAGAAAGGCCTTGTTCATCTGCTCGATAATCGAGTGGAGCTGTGTGCTTTGACTCTTCAACGATGCGATGGTGGTTTCCTTCCGCTGGCGATACGCACGCTGCGCAAGCCGGATCTGAGTTCTTCGTCTCTATTACATATGTCAGTACATTTGACATGTATGCTGAGATTGAAAAGCGGGGGGCTCCATGCTGGGTAGTGTCATTGGGAGCACTGCAAGCTCATCAGCGTCGTTCACAGGAGGTGGGGATGACGATGAGGAGCTCACAGTGGGTCGAGCTGGAGAACACATCAACAACTTGACAGCTTCTTCGTTCAGGACAGGTGCGCATGTCCCGTTTACCATCCCGCTCCAAGAGTTGACAACGACGAATCGGGGTAGATAGAACAAAAAGGACGTTGCGTCTCCACTCACATCTGCAGCCGTGGCGTCCTGTGTGTCTACCCGTGGACGGCCCCTAGCCTTCTTTCCTCCAGCACCACCGTCATCGCCACTGTCCCTCCTGCGTGAGCGCTTCCGTGATGTCTGCGTCTGTTCTGATTCTGAGCTCGTCATGATTCTGGTTTTCGCTTCTGATACCGCTGATCGAACAGAGTAAGGTCCGGAGATATGTCACCGATGGAGTTCGGTGGAACCAATAGCGAGACTGACTACGAAAGGATGCTGAACCGAAGTCGGTCTCCACGGACAACTAATCACTCCGTTCCGACTCTTGAAACACCGCTATCGTTCACTTGTGAGGAAAATCGTAAACTCTTCGTACAGATTCTCAGTGGAGTAATTTGGTTCGCGTAAAAATAGCGGGAAGACGTTGTGTACATGTAGATTGCACCCAGCATTAGTTCAACCTGACGCAAGCCAGACAGTATGGAAAAGCAAAAGATGCTCCGGCGCCGATTCAATGAACGGCCGCTACAGCTCACAAGGTTCGAGATCGATCAAGGGTCCGCTGTTACACGGGGCTAATGCGCGTCTCCGCACAGAATGCGGCTAGTTCCTGCTGTCCGTAGGGCGAAGAGTCGGACGATTCCCTGGACGGGTGGGTTCATGGCCACAGGTTTGCAGGTGTTGTGGTACCATCTACATGGATTTCTTTGCGTACAAATCTATAACTCGCAGGCCTTTCCTAGACATTCTTAATGCTGAGGTGTTTGAGACCGAGGTTGTCGGAGCTTGGTAGCTGGGTGTGGCCAATTGTTTCGTTGTGTGTCTTGTGGCTCTGGTGCAGTTCGGGAGGCTTTGGCAGCATGATTACTGAACAACAAATTTCCCGGAACGGCAAGTGCCGCATGCCAAGCCGTGCACGTGACACCAAGCCAACTCCTGTCAGCAGTCTGCAGGGCTGGCGGTTATAAATTCTTCCTTCGCTTCATCGTCAGCTGTGTTATTGCGGGCAAAGTATTACATAAGCTGTTTAAACCTCTCTAGCCTGGCAAACCAAACGCCCCTATACGTTTCAGGGCCGCGATACCTGGGCAGACGGTTTCTTGGGTAGCCTCAGCCCAGTCAATACGGGATACGGTCGACGCGGCGCCGGGAACAATGCAGATCCTAGAACATCTAAATCATGACGTCTATGTTTTGGCCAACGAGACTGTCCAGCTTACAAGTTGACGATATCGCATCCACGACTTCCATGCATCTCAGGTACCAATTCAACAGCACGGTCAAGGATACTTAGAGCCTGTATATGATCACATAATCTAACGTTGTATCTACGCTGATGCTTGCCCCGGACCATGTTTAAGCTTCGGAAGAACGCCCAACCAGTTGTTCGATTGTTCATCTTCGCCCTGCTCTCCCCCAGACCCCCTACTAGTGTTCTTCTCCGCATCATCATATCTATCTCGTACCCCATGCCCTGTCTGCTGACTGTTTGCTCCCCTTACCTCCGCCTCATGTTCCCGTACCGGTCTTTCGCTTCTTTCTGCCTCTCTCTGGGAGGGGGTCGCAGATCTAGGCGCGGCGGCAGCCGCATGATGACTATTCCGAGATTCCTCCGCCGGTACAATGGCACGATCCTCATCTATGCGCTTTTCACCTCTGTCTTCTGCCTTGATCCATGTTTGCAGATCCTCTTCTGAAGGTTTATGGAAACACCACATCTCATCAGAAGTCGTGTATCCAGTGCCCATACCGCCTTGAAAGTTGCGCCTAAACTTTCTTTGCAGGCCAGCAGCTAACCGTTTCCTGAACTCATTGTCAACCCGTAGACGAGCAGCTATCCACTGGTCATTCGGTCGGTGGTCGTTGGGCATATCTTCAATAAGAGGCGTGTCCAGAATCTTCTCATCTGTCATACATCGATTAATGATGGACTTTCCGCCTCCCGAGTCGGGCGTAACCAAACGGAGGAACTCGAGGCTAGTGCTGACGTTGAGATCAATAGCTCTTTGCGGGTGGACAGTGGCCTTCATGAACAACGATGAGACGTGCTTATACAAGATCGAGAAGTCGCTTTGGTTGATGTGGACGGAGCCTCGGACCGTAAGAAGATACGCAGGGGCGCCATGCTCGCTGGCCTCCTTCATCAGAGACATGGACGCATCCCAGTTTTTCCGCCAATACATGAACGCTTCACTGGCGATTCCCAACAAGGGAAGGTGTATTCGGTGCTTCGGGTCTTCCACAGGTGGTTTTACAGGCGCACTATAAATGTGTTAGTTCCAATGTGACATGGAGAGGAAGGTATAGTCACCCCCAGATGTCGTAAATTATCCCCGCTTGGACATTAGTAAACCTTTCGGTATGCCTGAGCACTTCTACCACTGTCGCGGCTCCGAAGCTATGACCAGCCATTGTCAATTTATCTACGTGAAAACGATGTTTCCATTGTGTCCAATCGATTCCGCCCAGACCTCTGGAAGAGCCTCCGACGTAGCCTTCGCCTCGGAGATTCTGTCGTGCGATTTCCTCTCCATCGCCGGCAGATATCATCTTGAGTACGCGGAATGCTTCCTCAAGCTCGCAAAGGCGCAGCTCTATCTGTGCGCTGCGCAGTTCGCCGTCGACGCCGTGCTCGTTGTTCGGTGCGGTGTCCATCGGATTATCTTTGGGGAAGATGTAGTCCTGTTATTGTCAGCCTGATAGATTCTGTGTTCCAGAATCTCACAGTACGCACCATGTAGTGATAACCTTGCGCAATTTCCTCGTCAGTGTGATCCAGATGCTGGAACTTGGCAAAGTCTTTGTCGTCTTCTACGTCTCCGTCGCAATTCGTATGGTTCGCTTTCCCTCCTCCTTGGGCATCCTTTCTCCGCTTCCCTCGCTTCTTGTGATTGATGAAAGTCCGCGGTCCACTCCCATCCCTGTGCTCCACCGCGCACACGACAAAGCCGTAGCTCGCGAATTCAGAGCATAAGCTACTGTATGCGGTTCTAGAGCCACCAAGACCATGACTGAACATCAACAGTGGGAAAGTGGGCTCATCGCTCATGCCCTCGGGCGGACTACCCTGCTGGTTCTTGATCTTGTACCCGTCTTTCTTCATGTTGCCTTCCGGAGGCCAATGAGTCGCAGGGGGGGCGTTCCTAAAACCGCGCAATTTGGTGAGCATGGTGGTCGCGCCAAAGATGCCGATGCTTATAGGGCTCGGTATGCCAGCAAACCGCGCATAACCCTTCGCCGTCTCCATGCGTGGCCTTGGAAGCCAGGTCTCCCGGCTCCATTTCTTCTCTCCTCCTGGGGCGTTCCCATTACCGCTCCCGAATGAGGCTGGGTAATATAGTGTAAACAAGACAGTCTCCAACTGCAGCAGGTGCCGGCCCTTGCGCTTGATGTTCGAGATTGGACGAGGGTGTTCGACAGGGACTTCGATCTCCATGCTGCCTATAGAGTATGGCCCTGAAGTGGGAGAGAGGGTCGAGTTCGGGTAAGGGAGATGGTCGCGTATCGATGCGGGCGGTCTCGTGCGTGGTTTCTTCGCGTTGGGTATCTTGCCCGAGGACGAGGGATTGAGGATGCTGTGTCGACGGGCGCCATCTTCGTCACCCGTGATGCGCGTCTTTTGACGCTCAAGAAAAGACATGGTCGATAGCGAGGGGTGGTGTGAAGGGTGATTTAGGGTATCTTAGAAGAAAAAGCGCGTAACAAAACAGACGCGGCAGGACTATGCCTCAGAGCAAAGAAAGCGATACGGCGATCGCGAAGAACAACGGCCGAAAATGCTTCGCCATGCTTAGCAGGCACTAGGAGGCCCCGCCTGAAACGCTTGCTCCGCTGGCGAGACTGTGCGGATGCGCCCGGGAAACCTAGCTGTAGTGTTTGGTGTTTTGACGATGCCGATGATGTCATGGGCCGGATCCCTTTTGAGCGAGGAGCGCGTAAGTGGGGCCGATGCCCCTTCGCCGTCCCTGACGAGCGCACCTGGGCAGACACCCAGCCCACATCAAGCATGACGTATTTGCTGGTGTTCAATCTCAAATCATGTTGAATTAAGCTATCAACTAAGATGATGGATATCATACTTGTAAAAAGTTTCAACGTATGCAATATAGCACATAACGCGAGATGGACAGAAGACATATGCGCCCAACGTCTTATTGGTGCAGACTCGGTCGCTTTGGCCCAGGCTATGAGGTCTTCGTCCTGTCCACCACCGGATATTGATCGGTACCGAAAGTAGAGTTGAGCGACACCTGCCCCGAAATTTTACCATCCTCCATACGGATCCACGTGTCGACCACCTTCGCATCCAACATGTCCTCCTTGACGACGATCTGACGCGCGCCTCGTGCCTAAAATGACGGTTTACGAAGTCAGTGTATGTCTCACACACAGTTCGTACATGGGGGATTTTACCCAATCAGTGTAGCCGCCATAGCCTGAGTGACGATTGAAGCAGATATTCAGTCCGTTGCCGTTGCTAGGAGAGTTTCCAGGGAGGTCTTTGGCCCATTTCATGCACCAGTCTACACCATGGTCGTGACCCGAGAAAACCGCCATGAGATTTTCCGTCTCTACGAGCGCTTTCATGAAAGGAACGTCGGCTCCACCGTACTTGCAGTTGTTCCCGGTGTTGTCGCAAGTATCGCCCTGGTTTCCTACACTCTCTTCGTTAATGCCTGGGTTCGCTGTTTTGGAACGCCCGTTATGTTGGAAGGAGTCCGTGGCGTGTATCGGGATGTGTACGAAAGCTATGCTAGGAACCGCACGGCCGTATTGCTGGCGAAGCGCGTTATTGGTTTTGCGAAACCATTCAACAACCTGCAGGAATCAGTACGTTATAAAAAGCAGTAACAAGGGTCTTATACCTTCTCGTCGACCCAGTTCGGAACCCCGACGTCGTCGCCAGTAGGCTGGTATTTCATGCCTCCTTTGCTGTCGAAGAACCACAACAGCATCTTCAGATCAAACGAGTCTGTGGAGCTGTACACCGGAACGAAATAGTTGCTCCAACCGACTTGATTCACATCGCCAGACACGGACTGCGTCGTGAAGGACAGTTTCTTGCCATTGTTGCCCTTGACGTCCGACCACATGTGTTCGGACATGGCACTAGTGCTACATGTCTTGGAAGCATCATGATTGCCGAATGTTGCGCCGAAAGGCAGGTTGCGGGCGATGAGTGGAGCCATGATCTGATCGATCAATGGATTTGCGTCTTGAGGAGCCACCCACTCGCAGGAGAGTAGATCGCCGTTGAGGACGACGAAGTCGGGCTGCTCGTTGTCGAGGACGGAGTTCATGACACCAATTGTCTTGAGGTCTGCGTATGGACGGCCGCGCTGAGACTCAGCTACAAGCTGTTAGTATATGCTGGTGTTAGGCTCACACGACGTAGAGAGATGTGATGCCTTACGCTCACCGAAGTGGAGATCACTGAAGACGGAGATTGACAGCTGTCTATCCGCAGCGAATTGGATACCTGCATAGTAGGGCGCTGATCTGCTGTGAAGTACAGCGGCACTGACTGCTGTAGCGAGCAGCCAGATGAATTGGGTAGACTTCAAAGTAACCATGACGGGTTAACCAGGATGTTGTAAGTTGATGCACTTAGAGGTAGCAGGTAGTCGAGCCGAAGGTGAAGCAAGATCAGTCGAAGTGAGGGTGCATTACAGGCAAAGGAAGCGAGCCCAGAGTGAAAGACTTGCTCACGCAGATAGCGAGGGTGAGAGTCGGGAAGGGGCCAGCAACCCAATCGGGTCGAAAGTGAAGAGCGAGCGGCATTATGGGAAAGAGCTGATTAGACTCAACTCAGGTCTCGTTGACAATTTACGTCTTAACGTCGATGCCGCCTATCTCGGATGCAGCAGTCATGTGTGTTGCCTCAATTCCTCTGCAATCTCCTTGTCACGCAAAATCCAATGCTATGCCGACAGAAAGACAAGGATGAACGGTTCCAATACCAGCCCACTCAAGAGCAGGTCTACTTGGAGATGTGTATGCGTGTCCCAATGGTCGTCGAGCAATAAGCTCATGTGGCCGACAAGATGATGTCGCGCACTTATCAAGGAGGTGTGGAGGAAGGCACGCAGGGAATGAATGGCCGGGGGTCCGCTCTGGACGGTCGCGCTAGCCAAGACTTCCCCACCAAAATTTCCAGACGCGAAGTTGGAGATCAGTCCTTCACCTCCGCCGCCATGAACGCCGAGGCTTATCTGCGCAAGCAAGGCTGGCAGGGCTCAGGTCACTCGCTCGACCAAACGGGCCGCGGCATCAAGAAGCCGCTTCTCATCGCGCACAAGAACGACCAGCTAGGACTCGGCAAGAAGAAGGCGGCGCATACGACAGACGACCAGTGGTGGTTGCGCGCATTTGATCAGAGTCTGCAGAGCATTGGTACAGGCAAGGATGTATGTAGTCACGCTTCACTGCACCTGCGCGATCAAAAGGCTAACTTTTCGCCAAGAGCACGCTCGACCAGATCCGCACCCAAGGCATCTATCGCGGAGGTCTCTATGGCTTCTTCGTAAAGGGCGAGATGATTGGAGGTACCATCGGAGACACTTCAGCGACTACTACAGACGCGTCGAATCCCGCTTCCGGCGCAAGCACGCCTCCTACATCCGCGTCCGACACCGAAACGCCCGCGCCTACCAAGGGGAAATCCGACAAGAAGAAGAAGCGCAAGCGAGACGAGGGGAATGATTTGGGCAGCAAAAAGGCGAAGAGCGATGCGGTCGAATCGAAGGATGAACAAAGTCCGGCGGCAGTCACGGGAAAAGACCTGAAGGCTGTAACGAAGAAACTTGCGAAGCTGAAAACCGAAGAAAAGGTCGACTACGAGACACGCGCGAAAGCAAAGGGCCAGACGCTCGAGCAATACGTCCTCCGTCGCATCCAGAAGAAGACCGCAACGCGCGCTCCCAAGCCGGTCGAAGCAATCAAAGAGAAGAAATCGAAGTCAGATAAAAAGGACAAGAAGAGCAAGAAGGCCCAGTAACAATGATGATACAATGGTGTAGCTAGAGAGAACAGTAGACGATCACGTCAATCTCAGGGTCGGCGCAGGATGCTCGCAGCCTTCTCAGGGTGGAGCAGCCCTCGAAGCGCATGCGTGGGCTGTGCGGAGAGCAGAAGACGAAGGATTCTGGCTCGAGGGGCTATATGCCACCGAACCATCTTCAAGGAACTGGGCGTTGTCGTCAGGAGTGATACCCAAGTCTATAGGGGCCGCTGACGACTACCCCAGAGAAAGTAGTCTGAGTGCAGAATAAGGGCCACAACGAAAGCACCGGAGTAGAGAATCAACCGGGAAGCGCAACTTTGTAGAGTCGGTACTTCTAGGCGCATGCCGTACGTGCGAAACACTGTATTATACCAATATCGCGATGTTGTTACAGACGAGTACTATTACATCACTCAAATAAACAACATGGACAGCTTCATCTTACATTCCACCCTCATCTCATCCCCACTATCATACACTGCTTCGTTCCACCACCAATAGACACAAACAACCCCATCGTAAATATCATCATCATCAATCGAGAAGGGAAAGAAAAACCACCAGGCTCATCGACAAGAAAAAAACCTACCAAAAGCAGAAGTGTGTCAATAAATCACCTCTCCAAGTCAACTCAACCGGTCTTCCCGCTCAGAATCCAGGGCCTCTTCTCCCAAAAATCATCCTTGATGATATCTACGTGCTCCATCAGCACAGTCGCCTTGCTTCGCTTCTTCTTATCTTTATCCCTCTGCGTACGACTCATGGGTACGGGCCACCCTTCATTCGCCTGTTGAGACGCAGTAGCTGCAGCCTTACCATTCGTATCCGATTGTGGTTGTTTGCCTTTATCCGGCCTGGTCTTCGAGGAGTTAGATTTGGAGGGTTTTGGTATGCTGGCGTCTTTGTTGCGACTACTGGTGGACGGGCGGCTGGTGGGAAAGGCTTGGGAACTTGGCCCTGCAGCGGATGTTGAGGATATTAGGGTGTGGAGATCGGGGCCTGAATGAGGGTATGGTAGGGTTGCTGATGTAGGCGCAGACTGTGTCGGTGTGGAAAAGGAGTGGAGTTCTGCAATACCTGGGTGGGAGATGTGGTCTTGGTTGCCCCAGCCTTGACCCGCTCTATAGTCTGACTCGCTTGGCCTTCGCTGAGGCGATTCACTGCCGTTGATGGCGTACTTGCTCCAGTCTTGCCGTGGGCTGTTTCCTTTGACCTTTTCTCGCGTGCGCATCTCCTCTTCTGCGCTCATTGGCGGACTGGGCAGAGCCTTGTTCTTTTGGATCGGCGGACTGACTTTGCGAGGCGGCGTCGACGTTGCATCTCGGGGGCTAACGATGCTCTCCTTCTCATCCAAACTATCTCTTGTGGCTTTGAGTGTTGTTGTTGATCGATGGACCGGCAAAGACAGTTTCCGCGGCTTGCTGTTGGCAGGAATGCTGGATATTCGCAGTGGTATAGACGGGGGCTTCACTGCAGGTGTACTAGATGATGCAAAATATGACGGCAGAGAAGGCTGGCTCGGCGACCGTTGTTTAACTCGCGAAGGCTTCGCTTGAGGTGGGTACGAGTTTGTCAAAGAAGCAGAAGCTGAGTGTGAGAATCCATGGCTGGCTGCTGTAGTGGCATGGTGGCGGTAGCCTGCTATAGGGTAATCTGCAGGGAAATCGCCTTGTGGTGTCACGGGGGAGAAGTTGGTACGTGTTGTCGGATTCGGTTGGCTCAATGACATCGGAGGCTTGCTGCTTGGCTTCAATATTGGCGGGGACAGCGGCAAAGGCGTCAACGAGGGTAGGTGCTGCTTGCCGTTCGAGGAACCATTGTTGTTCCAGGTGGCAGTCGTTGGTGGGGAGAGCGGCATGGACGAACCTGGCATATTACCCTCACCATCTGAGCCAATCGGATTGGACCTGAGTGGGTTAGGGAATGCTGATCTTGAAATTGTAGGTGGCGATGGCGGCGGTGATGGCGTCGACGTTGTGGAGAGAAAGGTTGGACGTCTGCATAGACCTGGGTTCTCCATCATCTCCTTTTTATCCGGCAGATAAGGGATAGACCTCTCAATAGATTGTGATGCCTGGTGATTGGACGCTCGCTTTGGTGTTGGCTGAGCGATCGGTGGCGTGGGGAAGTCCGACAGCACGGGTGACGACAATTCCTCGGTCGGTGGGGTAGGGAAAAACTGTCATGGTTAGGTAAGTGGACGTGAATACTGATGTTGCTGAAGCATCTCTTACATCTCTGTACAGCACCGTGCCTTTCTTGAAGCACTCTGGTTCGTTGTTGTAGTTGATTCCGAACTCCTTGAACAAGATCTCGTTCTTGTCGGATGACACTGTGCCTTTGAGTCTTTGCTCTGCTTCTCGCGCTCCCATGCCACCCTGCTGAACAAGGGTCCAGAAAGTGGTGTTGTACAGATTGTTGATATGACCTGCACGATGGTCAGATCCACATTACGACCGACATCAAGAGCAAAGGTCGAGTGTAACAAGAGAACGCAGGGTAAAGGTGATGCATCAAAATACTTACAATCGGCTTGCCGCCAGCTCATATAGTGTCGAAGGTTGATATCGCTTGGATATAAGACCGCACGCCCATCGAATGTCGGCAGGGGTGCTGTAAGTGGCTTATCCGGAAAGTATGTTGACCAAGAATACACATAGTAAGCAGTGAAAGTCGAGACAATCGTCGTAGTCAGTTTGCTAAACGGGGATCAGCTCTAGACGAATGACCACCGGAGATAATAAAGTTGCACCAATGGGAGGATTCCCGTACCTGGCTCGTCGTTCGAATAAGGCGCAGTCCTTGTGAAAGACGAAACTGCGACCCACGTCAGCTAATCGGTCCCGAAACATGTTGCCCCACCCCTGTGTATACCGCGCTGGGAACATTGGGCAGCTCGATGGAGGCATAATCAATCTCAAACACAACGTGCTCGAATAAAAGAATGCAACATACCTGTATTCGTCGCTGTTGCCAAATGCAAGGACAAGGTCTGGCAATTCCTTCATGACCGCCACGGCTGCAGCATTCATGACATCAAGGCCATTCTTGTCGTTTGGCTTGAGGAACTCATATTTGGACGTGAACCTGTTCGCGCGTTGTTAACAATGGCCCTTGTTGGTGTACAATAGCCGAGATGTTGGCCTGGGGCAGCAATGCCGTTCATGCAACATGGTGACGGGTACCTGCATATCCCGGACCAAGAAAGTTTGCCACGGCGCAAGTGAGGGAGAGAGAATTGGTGAGCGTACTTGGAAAAGCCACGTCCGTCTATCCGTACGACGATCCAAGTGTTGGGGATTAGATTGTCGGGCTGCTCGAACCCGCGCACGTATTCGAATCTGGAGTTCGTTAGTTGAGGTCCGGTGAGCTTGTGCAGGTGACCAGCTCTGGACGTTGGCGGCAGCTTCCCCACCCGCTCGAAAAGCTATTGATTACTCACTTGCTGTTCGCCATCTATGGCCTCTCTGCAGATAACAACCTTTCTGCCCCTGCACAGGCGCACGGCATAGTCTTTGAGCGATGGAAGACAAGAATCGACGGACGTCAGCGTGAGCTTGTTTGCTGCTCAGGAGTGCGTAAGTGTGGTTTTGAAGGCTGAGAGTCCGGGGCTTAGGCTAACCCGGTGTGCAGTACAGCAAAAGACGGTGTTTCAGGTTTGCAGATGTAATGCAGCTACCGCGACAAGCTTCTCGAGCCGACTGAAGCGCGGATAATGAGCGCGCAATTGGCACCCTCCGAACTGGCTATCATGCATTGCGTGGGTTACCCGCGGGTCGCAAAGTCTTTGAACATGGGATGAGTCCCCACACTCCGTTCCGGACGATCTCTGGCGCTTGGGCCAACGCCTTCCTCTCCAACAAGGCGACGCGCCCGCCGACACACGACCACCACTTTATCACTTTCATGCACCAAGAGACAGAGATTCAGTGTACAAAGTAGAGTTGTACGCGTCCTTGCGCCAAGCCACTCTAGTATCTCCCCCTCATCGCACAGACAGACGCATGAAGCACTCGGACATGCGGCATCTCCCGACCCATACGTAGTTGCCGGAGCGGAGCGAGCGGTGAATGTGCTCAGACGCGTGCCCGTGCTTCTCCCAAATAACCGCCACGTGTGGCACCTGCTACGGGCTTCATGCTGGGAGGGATGGCGTAGCCTGACGCATACGGGACACCGGTTCTTTAGGAATCCAACTAAGGCCAGCCGCTACGCCATCCTCAAACAACAACACCATGCAATGTATACAGACACTACCGAAGACTTCCCGGAAAGCTCCTATCCACCGGTTCTATAGCCACTATCGCCGCAATATACGTCTCAACCTCCGGAATCTGCAGCACCGTTTTCGTCAAATCGCCACGTTGAGGATTTAGGTTGTTGCCCAAAAGACTGTAGGGGTCCATACAGCAGCATGAACTCTGCACCCTTGTTCGTTCCTCCTGAGCTTTGTCCTCCTGCTTTAGCGATAGCCTAGCGAGAGTATTCTCCTGGTGGTGGTTACCAAAGTGCGTCAGCCACTCAGCGATCAGCATACTCACAATTACAATTAATTCTTAGTAGCACCAGGCATCACCACAAACAAGAAGCCGGGCCGGCGCATCAAAACATCACTCTCGGCCCTGTTATTCTCCGCTATTTACTGCAGGTCCCGTCTCGCACATCTTAACTTTGGATCGTCGGTCGATCTCGTGTCTTGGCATATCTATGTTCCAAAGACAGCATGTGAAAAGGGCCGTTCTCACGGCTCGGCCAGACACGAACGCAGTGGCCAAGACTTTTGATCTAATTCTTACACGACGGGTATTGGCGATGTTGGCGTCATGAGTCTATGACGTGGTTAGTCTATGCCTGTTATTATCATTTTACCTGAAGACAGCATGCACGACGGTGCTTCAACTCTAGATGGCATACAATAGCTAGAAACAGGAATTTATGGAGAATCACCGCCAAATCCGACTTTTACGTTGAGATCAGAATGGAAGCATGTTGCAAGATGTTCATTTTCCGAGAGAGAGTACAGGGTTCACGAGACCATATCCGTGACGTCGTTCACTATTTTCATGCATCTCGCATCAACCCCACCGCTCTTCAAAAAAAAGAATACTCTTTCGCCTGTCCTTGCGCACCGAACTGCTCGATTGACGACGAGACGTAGTCGTCCGGCGTCAAGCACTATCTTGTGATACCGCATGCGGCTAGACTTAGACTGGCTGGTGATGATTCCTTAGGTACTTCTATGGATGAGTTCTTGTGAGAACTCCAACAACCTGTATATGTGCTACCACGCGTCAAGTGCCTATTCTGATAGCGATGTGAGATGCACGGAAGCTGTTGCGTAGCTGTGAATTACACGACGAGAACAAATGATTCTCATGGTTCCCGCAGCTTCGAATTGGGTACTCCAGGGACCGCTTCGAGATGGGACACGAGACGATGTAGAGACTTCTAGGGTTGACGATTGAGATGTCGAATGGATTGCGCAAATTGCCAAGAAATCCAGTTCAAGGCACCAACGCATTGGACCGGAGGCCAAGGCCTGGTGTTGGAGGGTCAATTGCCAAGGGCGCTAATTGCGGCATCAAGGATTTCATCATCAACACCAAGTCGGCTGCTTTGAATGGCTTTTGCATGATGCGATCCTGTACAGCCTGTTAGCCTAGAATTGCTTCCGACGAATACCGTATACTTACTGCTCCAGCAGCAATAGCAGTATCGATCTGCTCTTTCCGGACATTCGCCGTGACAGCGATCACAGGCAGGCGTTCAGAAGACAGCACCCCTTGCTCGTGCTCCCTTTTCCGAATTTCACGCATGGCACCGAGTCCATCAAGCACCGGCATCTCCAGATCCATCAAAACAATATCGAATGTTTCTCGTTCCAGTATCTCGAGCGCCTCCAGGCCATGGTTTGCGACAGAGACGTGGCATCCCGCTTTCTTAAGTTGCTTGCCGAGCACTTGCTGATTGATAATGTTATCTTCCACCAACAGTACGTGGAGTTGCCGCATCGCTGCCTCTCCATTGCCGGTTTGCTGAAACATCTCTTTGAGGGTTCTGGGCTTCCATTCTACTCTTCGCGTCTTGACGTAGAATCCAAAAGTCGAACCTTGGCCCAGGACAGATGACACGCCTATCTCACCACCTTGCTTCTCAGTAAGTTCCTTCGAGATAAACAGACCCAGCCCACTGCCCCCGTATTTGACATGCGTCTTCACGTTTGCTTGACGGAAGCGCTCGAAAATCTTGTGGATTTCTTTCTCTTGCAAGCCAATACCCGAGTCCTTGACGGTGAATGCCAGATAGATCTCTTCACCGGTGCCCCAGTCTGGGTTGTTTGTGACATCGCCGTCTTGCTTGCCTTCAGTAGCCCAGAACATATCTCTTGGAAAGAGGTCGCGAGGATCTGATGTACTCGCACCAAAGCGGATGGATAGGGCTGGCTCTTTCGATGGCTTGACGAATTTGATGGCATTCGTCAGTAGATTGATGAAGACTTGTGTCACGCGGGACGGGTCCAGATGAAGGTGGTCAATGCCTAGGCTCAAGAACGACGTGTCCGGTGTGATACTGTAGGAGATGTTGTGCGTCTTCAGCTCAGCTTGGAAGATGTTGACGATGGAATCCACGAGCTTTGCGGGTTTGACTGCGACGGGCGTGATGGACAAGAGCATGGAATCGAGCTTACTCAAAGTAAGTACATCGTCGATTATTCTCTTCTGATGGTTTGCACATTGCATGATGACGTTTGCGCTTTGTATGTTGTCATTTAGAGTATCGAGGCACGGTACAGGTATGTCGGCGAGCTGCGTCTGGCACTCGGCCACCGCGTTGGCAATCGCATCTGCGCAGTGTACGATAGCGCTCAATGGGTTCCGCATTTCGTGTGACACTACGTCAATGAAGGCTTCCTGTTGTCTTTTTGCCTCTCTTGCTTCGGCGGCTAATCGAGCCTGGAAGGTCTGCGCCCAGCACAGCCTGCTGATATCAGTCGTACAGGCCATCACGCTTCTCACGCTTCCATGCTCGTCGCGGTACGGAAAAGCCAAAACCTGTAGCTGGGCGGGCTCAGGATCTCCAGTAGGAGGCATGTACATGCGCTTCATGCGCAAGTCGGCTGTGACGTGGTCGGCGCCTCTGATCAAACGTTCCCAAACATCGTCAGCTTTTACCCGGTCATCCTCGTGGTACGCGTCAAGGAAGGCGAGACCGACTGCATGCTCCGAAGGGGACTTCCCAGCTAGCTCATAATAATGATCGTTGGCCCATAGCATGTAACCATCCAGAGATACATGGCACATGCCCACAGACGCGTGATCAATCAGATGGCGTAGCTTGAGATCACTGAAAGCCAAATCAGCTTCGAGCTGCTCTTGACGCTTTTTGGTGGACTCGTTATCATCGGCAGAAGATATGATACTTGACACCATGCGGCCTAGGTCCCGGATAAATTGCTTGCATATATCGTCGTGAGGGCGGTATGGATTGGTGCCGAAGACGAGGTAGCCAAAGAGGCGCGTTCCACACATGATGGGTGATATGACGATCTGCTTAGATGGCGCACCCCAACCTCTCCATGAGGTAGCCAGAAATCTGTCGTCATGCTCAATGACCATAGTGTCTATACCAGCTCGTCGCAGATCAGGAACTAGGCCTTGTTCGCTGTCGATTGTTGCTGTCTCGACAATAAGACCGTGCCCCTCGGGAAAACCATATTGGCCATGAAGGATCAGATTGTTCGAGCCTGGGGTTGCGTCCATTCGGTATAGCATGGCCATGGGCACGTCGTTGGCGTTACTTTCGAGCGTGGTGAGGATGTGGGAGCAGACTTCGTCGACGCATTGTGAGGGGACGGAAGCGAGTGTGTTCAGGCAGGTAGTACGGCGGTCTGCAAGCTTCTGGCTTGTTACCTCATAGCTAGTTGTGTCAGCTTGGTTGAGGAGTATGTAACTGTGATAGTCGTGTTGTCCAACTTGGTCACTGTACGTAACTCACGTCGTATTTATGAAGCCCTCAATAGCGCCGGGCATGCCTACTGGAACAAAGCCGCCGGAGAAAAAGGCCTCCTCCTCGTAGCCTCTGCGCTCAACAACCGTGGGCGTGGCAGAGCTGTAATTGACGCCTGTGCCAGTCCGTTTGGCTTGAATGAAATACTCGCTAATGGACGGCCAGAGATCCGGATAGCCTTCCTGGAAGAGGGAGCCCATGAGTTCGGGGTGGGCGCCACCAGCCAGAGGCGCATAACTCTCATTGTAGATGGCCGTGAGGTTGGAGATGTCCTCTCCCCACCAGAGACAGGCTCCTCTTGAATCAGCCAGGACATAAGTTGCAAACATGCGCAGCGTCGGGCTCCATGTGCTCAGTGGCCCCAGGCGGCTGCGCGACCAGTCCGTGGCGCGGAAGAAGGCGATGTGGTCGGTATTGGGCAGCGCGGCAGTCCAATCGTATGCGCATTCATCGTCGGGGTTCATGGGAGGAGCGCCGAAGCCGTCTTCGTCTGGGGGAGGGGTGAGCATCTGCATGTAGCTGCCGGCGCAGAGTTGGCAGTCGCGAGAGAGACACAAAGTGGCTGCAGCATCCTCAAAAGGAAGCGACGTTTGCGCAGACAAGACGCGGTCAGGACCCGGTTATCTTATTCCCATGCGATGCTTTGGTTTTGACTACGACGGGGCTTCTCTCGGTCAATCCTGGCGTCGATTGCATGTGGGCACGGGGCGCAATCGAAGATGCATCTCGCACCTCCCCTCCCACATGCCGATCTGCCGAGATGCCCATCGCCTCGCCCCGAGCCATATGCCCTGTGATCCCATTTCCATGCCTTCGTATCAACCCTGTACATCTACCTCTTCCGAGACACTCTGTATCGACCAAAACGATATCCCACCCTCGCGCAGCAGCAAGACAGCCGCTGTTTGGCGGGGCAAACCTTCTCCTCCACAGGCATTGCAACGCCACAAGCGGGTGATCCTTTTTCTTCATCGACCGATCACTGTCTTCGACATGGCAGAACAGGGGGCGCCATACCCGCCGTGTTTTCAGCCTCGCCAAATGCAGCTAGATGCTCGTCGCTGCCCATCGCATTCACGCCCGATACTATTCCAGCACTGCAACCCACTCGCTCGTATCATGTCTGTCCGAACCGAGCGTGTCTGACTCACATCGCCGCACTCTTCACCGGATGCAACAGAGATGCCAACTCTTGGCCCGACTGTCGATCAAAATTGCACTTGCTACTTGTTGTCTTTTCTCTTGACCTTTACATCTCACAGCAACCCGCTTTACCATGTAGGCTACACTCGTAAACAGCATTTTTGGCTGCTGAAGGTTTGATCATGTCATATTTAGGGACACCTGCATACTGCATTGCTATGCTACGGTATTACGAATCAGGCTGCAAGGTCTATGCGAGTCTGATGCTGCCAGTCAATAAGATTTTCTCTTTCTTGTGAATGTTACATATGTCGAGGTGTGTCAAAGATGCCTGTCCCACGTGACTGTTTGTAAGCGCTACGTCATCTCGCCGGATAGGCTACTCAATCACCCAACCAGACCATTACAAAGCATTCCAATGTTGACCTCTAGCACTTTTTGACACAGACTAGCAAAGAATACATGCTCTCATGTAGGAACAAAACTTCATCAATCGCACATCCATACTCAGCACCCACCTCCCACAATGTCTGTCCTCATCACTGGCGCCTCTGGGTATCTCGGCGGCTCGCTACTTGCAGAACTGCACAAAACAGTACTCCCGGAGCACAAGAACATATACGCCCTGGTCAGATCTCAAGATCAATCAGAAGCGGTGAAGAAGCAGGGCGCGCGCCCTTTTATTCTCAATCTACAAGATGAAGAGAGTGTCATCAAGGGCATCGTAGATGCGCAGATCTCCGTCATATTCTTCCTCGTTGACGCTATGAACTCCGACATGCAAGTGCCCATGATAAAAGCCCTTGCAGAAGTCAAGAAGCAAACCGGACGCGAAGTGCACTTTGTACACACGAGCGGCGCGAAGATCTTCAGTGAGCATGCGGGGATGCCTATCGATCGACCACTTCCCGATACAGATCGAGATCTGTACAAGCTACAAAAGAGCTCCAAGGCTCCCCATCAACTCCTGACGCAGGTATGAGGCAACTGGCGCGTAGGCGGTCCAAGCTTCAATGACTCTTACTCAAATGGCCTTCAGGCAACGAATACGAACAATGTCATCATTGAAACGGCGGAGAAACATGGAGTTCGCAGCTACATCTTCATTCCATGTATCGTGTACGGCGAAGGGAAAGGCTTTGGTAACAAAATTTCGATCCAAACCACAGCTGTGCTTAAAGCCGCCAAAGGGGCCGGCGCCATGTACGATGTCAACCCGGAAGGCTGGGTGGGTGTTATTGAATAGTCATCAAGCCAACCACTCGCATGCTGACGATATACTCAGACTTGGCCCGTGTGTCATATAGACGATAACTCGAAACTGTACGTAGAACTGTTGAAGAGTATCCTACGCGACGGTAATCCAGAATATGGCGAGAATGGGTACTATCTTGCTTCCTCTGGAAGTGTGGCCTGGCACGACATGTACGCCGCAATGTCGAAAGCGCTTGCGAAGCGCGGAATTATCGACAGCTCGGAAGTCAAGAAAGCGGATGATTTAGCGCTGGATAAGATGGCGCAGGCCTTGGGTTGCCCAAAAGAGCTTATTGCAGTGCAATTGGGCGGAAAGTAAGTATATCTGCATCCTCGCGAGACAGGGATTGGAACCTAACTGTGATTATAGATGTACCCTTGAAGCGAAAAGAGCCTACAGTCTAGGTTGGACTCCAGAACATGAGCCGAAGCATGTTTTGGAAGCGGCAGATGCAGAGGTAGAGCTTATTCTGAAGCACCTATGAGCAAAGAGGAGCAAAGAGGTCGAACTTGTGGCACAGCCACCCCATTGAAGGGAAAAATCGAACACCCTAGGGCCTACATCAAGTTAAAAACGTGCAAAGTGGGTGGCCCAACGGCGACGTAGACTCCAAGGTGTTCGGGTTATCCCTTATATGAGGTGCAGCTTAGGTTAAAGCCGCAGCTGCCTCCCCAGACGCGATATTTGGGAAACTTCAATATGTCAATAAACAAGAAAACACACCAAGCAAAGGTCTAAATCTCGAGTTCCCTACTAATGTATGAAACGCTCGTTTCTGGTGACCCAACCAAAGTACCCTCTCTCTCCGACTCAGACTCTCACTTGTTTTTCTTCATCTACACTAACCATGCCCTACTTCACGTCCTTGCTTCACCAGATACAGAAGGCGAGCCCATGATAACGTTCAGCTCTGCCTCGGTATACCTCTGTTGCGGCTGCTGCAGAATACAATTAGCGATATCGTCCGAACATCCTCTCTCGACAACTTACCTCGACAAATTTCGGTCCATCGTACTCGCGCAACAGCTCAACGTACTCCATCAATGGCCGCATGATCGAGGCATCAGCGTTCAACGCTGGACCACTCAGCGCAATGTCCAGGTCATATGCCAAGACTACGACTGGACCGCGAAACGGCAGTCCGAGGCTCTTGTTCTCAGTGAGTGCACGCTTTCCCTTTGCGTTCATGTCGTAGTTGATCTGGATGAAATACGGAAAGTAGCGGTTGTGGAATGATAGTTTCTTGATCTCCGAAACCGGTACACCTGGGAAGTGTTGTTCGAGACCGCCTACCGTACCTTCCTCATCGAAAGCAAGGACAGAGAAAACAGGCTTGGCTGAATCGACGGGGAAGTATAACACCCGTCGTATGCCATCGTAGACGGCGTGTTCGATGGCTTTGACGTAAGGCTTGCAAATGAGATTGTGGCTGGAAACCCAATCGTGTTTTTGACAGGCTGGCGAGCAATAGCGGATGTTCTTGCATTTGCTGCATTTGTTCTTCGCATCAGGTGCATGACACGTGGCGCAGAGATCTGCGACAGTAGTCGGTAGAGGTGGGACCGGGACATAGTCTTCGAGCATCAACGGGTAGCCAAAGTTCTGAGGCGAGTATGGTGTAGTTGCCGACATGACGAGCGGCTGTGGAGTCAAGATTATCAAGCGATATCAGAAATGAATTATGATCAGAGGATGTACCCTAGCTCTGAAGTCAAAAGGAAAGAGAGCGCAACAAGCAAGCTGTGAGATTAGAAGATATACTAGCATTAGTCGTACGGCATACAAATGAGGTCGCATGACCTCTATCTCACCGCAAGTGGCATACTGCCTTTACCTGAGAGCCTTGATCAAGTACCCAGGTTGTCTCAGTATGGGCGATAAAGCCACTGCGATGGATGAAAGAAAACATCGAAATCCACACCGCCAAACACGCCAATCGCCGGAAAGAGATCGCATTCGCCCCTCAGTCCCGTGTTGCCTCCCTCGCTTCGCACGTCGAGTTCCTCGTTACCATCCCAACCGCCTTCCTTTACTCCATTACGCGTGAAGAATACGTCGATATCTAGCATCCTTCCGTGTTGCGACTGCTCGTATGATGGCGGGTTGCGCGGAACCGAGAAGGTGATGCCAATACCAACAGTGTCGCCGGGCTTGAAAGCCGAGGTGAAGTCGATACCGCCCCATGCATCATTGACGTACTTTCTTCCATCATCTCCATGCACTCCAAGACTGGCACGTTCCCAGCCAGGGAGACGGAACGTAGGATAAGGCGGCGCAACGAAGCCTATCGCGATACCGGCGTCTGCTTCCGAGAAAGAGAAGCCACCGCGACCGATTCCAAGGACTTTGAGTTCAAAGTAGACAGTCTTGGAGCGTTGTGTGTTGAGCGGTGAGTCCCAAAACACGCTGTACATGGGCAGATTTGTGAGAATACTCGAATCCCTGCAGTTCGCATGAGTGCGACAACGCCAGTGTCCTGCCTGAGGTTGAGGGAGTAGATCACCCAGATACGATGGCGCTTTCAGTAGGGCAAGCTGCCCGTTTTGAATCGCAGCATGAGTGCTAGGCTGCAGGTTCTGTGGTGGCCACAAAGGATTCATGTTGGTCCAAGCCAAGGCACGATCGCCATCTTCAGTCGATGCATTAGCAGTTGGAGAGCTATCGTAACCCATCGAAGGTGGTGGGGGTAGAAGTGCAGTGTCAGGTACGACTGTCCAGTCGTGGTATGGCGGGGGATCCCAGCTAGGAGGGGGTTGCTGTGGATACGAAGGAGGAGGCCCTGCTGGGGGTGCGTAACCTGAGAACTCTTGTTTAGGTGGAGGCCCTGGAGGAGCAGTATAAGAAGATGACCCGTGGCTCGGTGGAGGACCTGGCGGAGCGGAGTACCCAGACGAGGATGAAGCCTGGTTCGGCGGCGGGCCAGGCGGTGCTTGATACTTCTCCGTCGGCGCTATGTTATGCTGCTGGTCTTGAGGAGAGCTGTAGTAAGGGTTGTTTGAGTGCTGATTGTGTTGGTCTGTCCCATATGACGGCCTTGAAGAGCTGTCATCGCCCTTGATCTTGTCCTTGAACTTCTTGAACATAGTGGGGCTGGAAATTCAGAGCAGTGCCGAAAGATGCCCTATTCTAATTTGTTGGTTGAGCGGAAGGTAGTCAAAGAGATCGTGATCAGGGGTGAGTAGTATTGTTGAGTCACATACTAGGAAAGCGGGCGCACTTGAATGATGATGTAGCGAAGGTGGCCGGTTGTGGCTGTGCACGCGCAACAAAGCCCGAGTTGATTGTCACCTACCCGTCTACGTCATCGTTGATGGCTTGGCAGGGTCCTTGAAGCCTAAACCCCGGCCACAATCGCTGATGTCGCGCTCCAACAAACGCAACGCGATTGACCTCTAACAACCAGGCCGTCGGTCACGCATCCCCTGCATACCTTCCGGCCACAGCCTTGCCGCGGACCCTTCCTTCTATAAACCTCACCGGAACCTCGACTTCTACGTCTCTCAACCAATCGCCCATTGCTTTCGCGAAAGCATCCAACCTGCTACTCCCACTAACGCCTCTGCCCAACACCCCATAAACCACGAAATGCACCGCCATGATACCTTCGAACTCCACCCTTTCCATAAAAAAGCTGTCGTTCCAGCTCTCTCCGAACATTTCCTTGAGTTTGGGCATGGTGAGAAAGCTGCGGAGCCACTCCCAGCTTTCGGCATACAGGGGTGATGACTGTGGGTAGGAGGAAGGTAGGCTCGTGGGTATAAAGAAACCGATGTTCGCGTTTCCACCCTTGTCGCCTGAGCGGGCGAGCACGATGTCTCCCAGTCGCGCACGCGTTGTTGGGCCAAAAGACCGAAGATCTACGGGGTTAGCAGTCTCGTAGCTTTCCCGTTTCCCAATGTCTTCCGACTGCGGAGGCGGCGTGGTCGTCAAGGTCCTTGTCTCGCCAGATTGGAGAAGATTGATCGCCGTCTTTAGCTTGTTTTGCGGCCAAATCGCCGGATAGAAGCTCAAGTACGGTTTCGGTATCGCCGTGCGATGGTCCATCGTACTATGGAAGCCCGAATAGTGCTGCATCGCGAAGTCCGCCAATAGACTCGCTAGGCCCAAGTTCACGTTCGGATCGCCGCTCTCTGCAAAGATCCGACAATACGATGTACTTCTGAGCTGGCTCTTTGGGTCGGTCTCCGGCATGCCTATGCGCTGGAATTCCAAGATGTCGAATCTGTCCAGTATGCCCTTCTGCTTCAGACCAAACTTAATCATGCGTTCCCAGAGATCGAATTTCTCAACCGTGGCGTAACCAGTTGCATTGACGACAATCTCCGACTGGTACCCTGCTTGATAGAAGATTGCGAGCTTCGTAGTGGGTGGGGGTGGTTTGCCTTTGACGCCCCACAAACGAACTCTTTCTGAATGTTAGCGAGATTGCTCCTGCCAGCATGCCATGTAGGTGAGTGTTATTCGAGCGTACCTATTCCTGCCTTCAGCTTTGACCTGAACCTCATCCAAGATAGCCTTGACATCGCTGTTCAGGTACAGATTCCCCTGGAGCTCATACAGAAACTGACATTTGACAGTATCTTCTGTAACAAAACCTTTTCTCGCTTCATGCTTCGTGATCACACATGTTCCGTCCTTCTCGACTTCTGCGATACCGAAAGTGATGTCGTACAGGTCATCCAGCGAATACTCGTAGAAGCCTGCGAAATTCGAGCCCGTTACATAGCCACTGCATTCGATGAGATGACCCGCTATCAGCGCTCCTGCAAGCGCGTCGAAGTCGGTGTCACGCCACGAATACCAGTACCATGCAGCGCCGATGACGGGGCTGGCGTCCGCAACACGACCAGCAATAATGATGTCTGCGCCTTCTTCGAGGCCTTTGACGATTTCGCGAGCGCCGAGGTAGACGTTCGCACTCACGATCGGCTTTTCAGACTTCAGCACATCGAGAGTGTGGTCTGCGACCTTTACTTCGCTGTTGTCGGAGTCTAGGTGCGGTGGTAGACCCTTCTCCTTGATATCTTTCATTTCGTCCATCAGGTTGTCGCCAGACACGTACGCAACCTTCAGATCATACCCTTTGCTTAAGACCTGCTCGTCTGTCAGTCAACTAGACCGTGTAGCGACTACATAGATGAGACGAGACGAGACTCACGAGTTCATGCACCTTCTCCGCCAACCCCTTCGGATTGTGCGCACCACCATTGACAACGACTTTGATCTTCTTTTCATTGAACAAGTCGATAGTCTGCTCGATACCGTCCCAAGCTGTTTTCTCCCATCCAGGATGTTTGCCCGCTGCATGTGCCTGGGCATTTTCCGCGATGTTGACCTCAGCGAGATAGTCACCTGTAATGAAGTCTGTGTCTCCCAGCTCTGCTTGGTAGAGCATGTGATATCCGGGATCCCCTTGCATTCGTCAGACTGGTTTAGCATAGGTAAGGCTTGTATCACCTTTGTAGCCTGAGCAGTTCGCTATCCTCACTGGACGGCTTCCGCGCTGCGCTGTCCATCTCGTGCTGTAGTCTGACGATGCCATAGCTACTCCCTCAACAACGATCGTCGACAAAGGGCTTGTGGTGCAATCTTATGGGTATTCTGGGATGAAGTCGCTAACGCATGCGCATGCGCGTAAAGCAAACTTGCATTATCGCGATACAGCCGCAACTTAAATACTCCCACCGAACTTCCAATTACAAGCATCTCCTCATCAAATTGCCATTCCTACAGACCTGATTCTCTTCTTGCGTAACGTGTATCCAGATTGCGGGGTGATACCCCACCTTGTCGGGTAGATTGAGCTAGTCGACTTACTCGCCCGAGGGCCGAAAACGAATTGCCGTCCATCTACCATGATCGGCAGTGCTTGAGTAAGACCGGTGACAACTAGGACGATGGAGCTGGTGCGCCGATTGGCGTTGCTTGCACCGTCGTACAAGGCCACCGAGTAGCTGAGTGGGTTGGGTGGGACGTGTTTCGGAGAGCGAAAGTGATAAAGCTCATGCTATCCGCGTCTCGTAGCTTGAGATCAAAGTTCTAATACCATTGGAAATGACGAACACTATGACGAACGGCCACACTAATGGCACAAATGGTACGAACGGTAACCACAAGGATTACTCTGTCCCTCGCGAAACCCAAAATATCTTCGAGAAGGGCATATTGAGCAATACCCTCATCGCTCACACATTACCTACCGATATCGAAGAATGCGCGAAAAAAGTCCAGTTCAAGGGCACCGATAAGCCCAGTATACCGATCAACTGGCGCTTCGCCGAAAGCATCTCGGCACTCAAAGGACTGGAAGCTGCCATGATCAACGTCCTTCTGAAAAGGAAATACGGGCTAGAACCCCAAGAAGCCATCATCGACACGTAAGTCGACATGTCCGAGTTACGTTCACTGAGATTCGTAGCAGTCAAGTAGCTAACGTATGTTGGTGTAAAGCGACCATGCGCAACTCTTCTTCATGTCGATCCTATTAAACGTCATCGATCCCGATGGCGAAAACATTGAGTTCTTGACCAAACCGTTCGCGAGTGGATCGGACGCATACAACAGATATTTCAAGAACTGCGATTTGCATGATACGAGTAGGACTCCGTACCGCGTGGCGGCTACGAACATCTACCGGTGCAAAGATGGAAGGTACTTCCATCTACATGGCTCCATGAACCCTGGACCCACACAAGAGAGTGTTGGGTTACCGCCTGACATGGAATTAGCTGAGTCGGAGGATCCATGGAAACCATACGAAGAGAAGCTAGCAGGTATCGAATCCGGCGAGATGCAAAGGTTGGCGTCGGATGTGTACAAGCAAGCTGGTACAATTTGCTGGACAACCGAAGAGTTTAAGAACAGCGAGCATGGAAAGGCGAACGCCCATGTAGGCCTCTACGAGATCCACGATGTCAAGAACCAGAAACAGCCGGCGTGTTGGTGGCCCGATAGCTCGGAGACAGGTGTAAAGAGGCCACTAGCGGGTCTCAAAGTCGTCGACCTGACCCGTGTGATTGCTGCTCCAGCTCTAACTCGAGGCCTTGCCGAACTGGGTGCTTCGGTGATGCGAGTAACAGCTGAGCACGTTACCGACATGTCCATGCTACACGTCGATCTCAGCTGGGGAAAGTGGAACGCGCATCTGGATTTCCGGAAAGAAGAGGACAGAGAGAAGCTGCGCGCTCTGGTCCGGGAAGCCGATGTCGTGGTACAAGGTTATCGACCTGGCGTGCTGGATAAATATGGTTTCTCGCCCGAAGGCCTACTCGACCTGACGAAGGACCGAGAGCGAGGTCTCATTGTTGTGCGGGAGAACTGCTATGGCTGGTATGGTCCTTGGTCGTATCGCAGCGGGTGGCAGCAAATCTCCGACGCGTGCTGTGGGGTATCGATGGAGTTTGGACGAGCCATGGGCAATGACGAACCCGTCACACCTGTGTTCCCCAACAGCGACTTCTGCACTGGTACTTCTGGCGTCATCGCCGTATTGAACGCGATAATCCGAAGGGGTACCGAAGGCGGTTCCTACAAAGTCGATGTAAGTCAGCTTCACCGTCCCACGTCAACCAAGAAAAAAACAGAACAGGCCTGCAGCCTACATCAACATGAAAACCTACAAGATAGGTGAACTGGCGTTGATGTAGGCTCTAGATCTGTTCGGGTTTTTTCTTGTATGCGGTGGGCCGGTAGCGTTATGGACGCTAACACCTACAGATCGCTTTGAACTACTACTCCCAATGGCTTGTAAACAGCGTCGGCACATACCCTACAGACGTCTGGGAAGATGTCTGGACTCGCAATGGCCGCCAAGTATTCCGACATTACCACAACATGCAGTATACGTTGCCGCGCTACATGAAGATGTTATTCGAGAATTCGGGATCCGTGCTCTTAAAACCCGATTTCTTTGAGATGCGACATGCGGGCGCGATCGGCAAAGATGTCAAGGGGGTCAAGCCCATCATTCAATACCCACAAGGGAATGTGAGGTTGGGGTATAATGTAGGGACGCGCGGAAATGGTGTCGACACGCCGGCGTGGCCGAAGAACCTGATGACTGAGGTTGTCGCGTAATGAGTCA